ACAATAAGAATAATTACGACTGCAATAACAATAATCGGAATATAAATTTATAACGTCTTAACGGAACGGAATTTACAGAATAACACTCAGATTTTAACTGGATAAACACTCGAATTTTAACTCACAACATAAAATAAAATTACACACACAAGTGTTTCAAGTACCAAATGAAAATAAAAACAAGAACAAGAACATCAAGAACACTAAAAAGTGTTTGTACTAATTCTAATATTTGTATCTAAGAACTAAAGCTAAAACTTCCTTTCCGAACTCACCCCTAAGACCTCTCACAAATGATGTATTTATACTAGTTCAAGAGGGGACAAAATCACATCAAAATCATCTTAAGATCATTATGCATTAATGGCTAGCATATCTATCAAAAATCAGCCCAAAATCTTCCAAAATCCGCCCAACATCTATGTTTGAAAAGTGGGCGCCGCCCATGTTGAACAAGACTTGGCAGCTTGCGCGGTTTTACGGTTTTGGCTCGTACGGGCTCGTCCGGACTCGGAATTGAGTTCCGTTTTCTCCTACGCGTAGCTAACGAACCCCTCTTCAATCCAATGTCATATACTGGCCATAATTAGTTACAAAAGTTGCCCCAAAGTTATGCTGAAAAGTGGCCGCGGCGCGAGGCTTGGACAGTTTGCGCGGCTTTACGGTTTTTTCTCGTTTGGGATCATTCGGACTCGAAATTTAGTTCCGTTTTCTCCTACGCGTTACTAACGAGCTCTTCTTTCCAGCTATGCTCAAAAGAGCAATTTATCTTGTAACTCAAATCTTCACGGGGCTCGATACCAATGCGTCGGAAACGATAACTCTCGAAAATCCAGACTTATTATACCTGAAATTACACCAAAAACCGGAAAAACACAAAAACACACAAAAATACACGAAAACACACGAAAAACCACAAAATACACAATAAACACTAGAACAATAAAAATAACCAAAAACAACTAAATGGACCGAAAGACCTTCTAAAAGACCTAAAAATGAGGGAAAATAAATGTAAAATAACAATAAAAAACGTAACAAAAATAATCACAACATTTTACAACACATACTACATTAGTTAACAGCACATGATGATAATTGTATTACATTATTACATATGGACCGAGGTCAAACTTTCACTAGCCCAAAGATGTTAGGCGGGTTCAAAACAAGATATATTACCTTCGGTTTCCTTGGAGGAGACAAGCAAGCTCGACAAGGAAACCCTATTCTCCGAGAAAGAGGTTTTCTCCTTGTTCTCGCTACTTGTTTCCGGTAGTGTTTGGTACGTAGCTAAATAAACATATTGAGTTTGTATTGTTTTTTCAATGTTTTCTCTTTTAAATTGAAGAAACATCTGATGCCTCTGTTTGTCAATTTACTGAGTAGGGAATGGATACACAGGATGTTAGCCTATGAACCCAAACAAATTTCATATCTAGAATATGATATAGATAAAGATATGCACTGAAGTATCTGTGTACTTGTTGTGCGTGTGTGTTTATAAATGTTTACAATGTTAGATCTATTTTGAGGGTGTAGGGTGTAATTTGCACCAGGGAGTATGTATGGTTTGCTCGGCCTTATTTCTTTCTATTTTCCAAATCCCACCGACGGTAATAAGCACTATTGTCATTTTTTTCCCTGTTTGTCCAAGTTTCGTAATTATGTTTATTTAAAAAAAACTCGGGCTGAAATATTTATGATTATGTGTCTGTTAGTCATATAAAGCGTTCATTTATTGATTATTAATTATTTTACTAATATTATATTTATATGTCAAGGGTGCTTCTTTTTGTTTCTTTTCCTTTGTAGTACCAAAATTGTTATAATGATGTGTTGCTTATAATACATGTACATCTTAAAAACATATTAATTATATTGATAAATATTGAGATGATTATATAAATAAATCAAATTTAGGTTGAATTTTAAGTTAAAAAGTGTAAAAAAATTATCCTCAAAACCGATTTTAACATGTAGCAATGGCCCCAATGTATCTGATATCAACTCAAGTGAAATATATTTCTCATATATATTCAATGTTTCATTTATGCATCACTGGCCATTATACATGAATATATTTGCCTAACTGATGGTATGCAACTCCAGGTACCTTGAATATGAATGTCTTTGAAATTGGAAGCGGGGACTTCAATGAATTTATTCACAATCTCCGTGATGCCCTGTCGGATACTCGGTTTGAGTGTCATGGAAAGAAGGTTCTAAAGGACATTGCTGGACCTTTCGAGTTCATTTTACGGGATGAGATGCGTCAACTTGAAGCCACAATCACACTTGGCCAAAACGATCTTTATGTATATGGGTTCGTCTCTGGTGGGAATCGGCGAGAAATTAAGAGTGGCGGACCACAACTCATTCGCATGTCTCAGGACTTACCATTCGACGAGTCCTACGGTTCCATGATGAAGACTGCTTTTCCTAACAAGAAGCAGCTGTTAGAGGACGTCAAGGTGGGAAGTTTCGAGCTCTTACTTGCGTTGCGGTCGTTTGCGGCGTCAGATAAGTCTCAATCCTTGGCTCGTGGCATTCTCGTTGTGGCTCTAATGCTTTCTGAATCCATAAGATCAGATGAAGTTCTGAAAGATGTGATTCAGTCATTTCAACAATCAATACCTTTTGGGGCAAGAAACGTCAACTTATTGGGTTGCTGGGGCAAGATTAGCTATTTCCTGATACGGTGACAGTATTACTCAGAACTATTTGATGAGATGCCTGACAAAATGAAAGAACTGTTTAAGCATGTGGAGGAAGTTAAAGAAAGTGTGGGAATGGTGAAAAATGTGATGATTTTAGTTAAGTTGCCAGGCAACAGGGGTTCGAGTGAGTGGAGATTGGGGGATAGGGAGGTGCACATTCCTCATCACTGACTTATGTAATCCCTTCATCCCTCCTAGGCCAATAGACAAGCTATTAGTGGTCTGCTTCTCCGTGTTCTCTGTTGGGCTTTTGTGGTGTCTGAATTTTATGAATGTAGATGCCTTTGGGGCTAGGAACTTAGAGCTGATTTTTCTTTTTTTTTTTTCTTTTCAAAACTTGGATCACGGTGTTGTTCGGTTGCTCTAAGTATATCTGTCCTGTTCTGGATGTCTGATTGGGATCTTCTTGTTGCTTTTTGACGATTACACCGTATATTCTATATTCAGTCATTTAAATTTGAGGGATTGACATAATTGGTTTATTAGTGTCATTAACGGTAATCGGTTTNAGAAAACTAAAAAAGTAAAATAGATAATCTTGAATAGATAACGAATTTTCTTTCATATCATACAATACGCCGCCGTCCACGTCCAATCTGCTTTTCCATCCTCAGCCTCTCATTCTATTGTTTAATTATTTCTTTATTAAGTGGTACTACAGTTTAAAAACTGCACAGAGTCTTCATAGGCTGTCATGTCCTCACTATTGCATGCGTGCTGAAGGTATATTTGAGCATCTTTCTTTGAGTGTATATGCAGCCAAACACGTTCTGAAGCTGGGTACATCAGTGGATTTTGGGTTTTGTCAGGGAAAAGGGAAAGATGGAGTGGCTTGAACAAGAGTCATCAACAAGTAAGAACATTTGCATTGAATTTTTTTTAATGAATTAGCATCACGCAATCACTATATACTTCATAGATTTGAATTGTAATTGAAATGGTGGATGTGATTCCATTGTTGTTCATGGACTGTCAAACAAGGGAGTGTGTTGGTTTTCAGATCATTTGCATTTCTAGTTTCAGTAGGAGCAGTTATTTTCATTTGGATGTCATGTCATAAATTTCAAACTGTTAAACTTGATGTGTTTTTTTATTGCATTTTAAATACCAATAATTTTCATTTTTTTTTTCCTTCCTTTTTCCCCTCTGCAGACGTCAAAGGAAGTATTGCAACTACCATAAGGTTCTGCTCGTGTGCATCCGTCAAACTTAAATTTGTATTTTCCAAATTAACCCACTTATTAACATCATCTCATTGATTTTACATTTTTTTTTTGTGTGTGTGTATGGGTGGAAAGGCCCCACCACAAGATAACAAAGAAAATAGCACAAATATGATTGAGTTGGATTTTGTCAGTTAATGATGAGTTTTGAGGTCTCACATTTTGAAGTGTTGCGGAACTGCTGAAGATTTTTAGCACAAATATGATTGAGTTGGATTTTGTTAGTTCAGATGATGAGTTTTGAGGTCTCACATTTTGAAGTGTTGCGGAACTGCTGAAGATTTTTGTAAATTAGCTGAAATTTTTGGATGCTCTTTTTGCGTGGGAGATATAATTTCACCCACTTGCTTGACCATAAACAATTGCAAATGATATGTTTGTATTTTAGAATCTTAAAGTAATACTCTTCTTTTGTAGTTTACAAGTAAGAAATTTAATGTCATCTTGCAAGTAACTCTTCAATTCCCCTTTTGGTATCTTATCTTTTCTTTGGGAGTGAAAAATATAATATTGTGATTTCAATGGTAGATAATTAAATGTACAATGAAATATTTTTTTCACTAGTTAGTGAATGAGAGTGAAGCTTCACAAAGTTTTGACACTAGTAATATCATCATATTGGAATTAGAGATGTTAAATGAAGTGAGGCATTTGGGAGTTTGGTTTGGTTGGAGCTTTGTTTGACTTGCTTGATAAATGATTGCGTTTCAATTTATTTAGCTAATAAGCTGAGCCAAGCACGTTAACTAATAAACGGTTCGGTTCACACCAAAGGCTTGAGTCTAGCACCAAACAATATTTTATGCACAATTTGTGAGCGTCAGTGGACGGAAAAATAATTAATAATAATATTAACAATAAATTCGTCTAATAATAATTGACAACCATCAAACTAGTCGTTGTAGTTAAGTCCCAAGTACTTGGATGCGCAATTGCATAATTATGGGCACGTAAAGTTTGCGCCATGTTGTGGTATTGTAATAGTCGTGCACATATCCATACACCGATTCGTTTGCCTTCGTAAAAATAGTACATGCATATAATACAATAAATGGAACACAATATAACATTTTCTTATGGATAAGATAACACTAAGTGAACAATTTTTGTAGGCATTCCCATCCCACCCCAAAAGCCACTGTGAACAATTCGCACTTTATCAACGTCCATCTGAAAAAAATAAATAAATAAAAAAGAAAATCTTAGTACAAATTCTTTTGTTCAAGTAACAGTTTCTTGTTCAAAAAACGAGTTTCTTCAGCAAGAAACGAGTTTCTTGGCAAGAAACAGGTTTCTTAAGCAAGAAACGTGTTTCTTGGCAAGAAATCCGATTCTTGAACAAGAAACCCGTTAAGAGCTCAAGAACCTATTTCTTGATCAAGAAACATGTTTCTTGAACAGGAAACCCGTTAAGAGCTCAAGAAACCTATTTCTTGCTCAAGAAACCTGTTTCTAAAAACGATTAATTCAGCTCCTAAAATAAAAAAAAATGGCTCAAGTAACAATACAACAAACGCTGAAGAACTCCAAAAAAATATGAGTTCAACAAAATAAAATGGTACTAGACAAATCAATAATTTTGGGAATAAAAATAATAAATGTGTTCAAATTTTTTTTTATTTAACATAATAAAAAAAATTAGATTTATGTTAATGTACCTTTTTTTTTCTCAAAAAGGGATTCACTTGGTGGTGTTGAAGATGATATTTTAAAAGAGATCACTTTTACTTTAATTTTGGGATGTTGATTTTTTTTTTTTTTACAGAAGA